TGTGCGAGTCCACACAAAGCCACCTCGCCCTACATTATGTAGACTTCTTTTTGTACAGAGGTCCACACTATGTATGCCACACCTGCGCACTCTTTCCTCCCAGGCGTTAAAAATACAGTGAAGTCTGCTATGGTCAAAATGTGACTCAACAGGTCGGCACTCATCCCTAGTTTCAGTATTCACGAAACGACCGAGATCCATCCCCGGATGACAAACCAGTCCACTGCAGGTTACCCCTACCTAATGATCGAACATATTCACAGTTTGGGTGGAGAGAGGCGAGAGGGGGCGGGGAGTCAAGACTCGAGAGGCTGGCCCAAGGACGCAACCTATATGGCCAGCAGCTGGATTTGAACCCCGGATCCTCCGATCTGGAGTCACAATTAAACCCTGAGAACGAGGGCCAGCCCCCCTCCCCCCCTCAGCCACTGAACTTGTCACGCCTTATTATACCACATTTAACCATTCTGAGTCGAATCTCTGCACAGGGGTAAGATTGCAGGGTGAAGAGGTTCTTCAAACATGCTTGAAACATCCAGCAGAGAGATTAGTACGACGATGATAAAATGCTGCGACTTTGATAACTTTTAACAGCCAGCTATTGTGCGGACGGGATCTTGTATAGGTTTGTGTACATAGTGAAGAAAAACGACCAGCACACATGAATAACGAAGTGGGAAAACTCCAGACTGTTATAAGCTCACACATTCAGAAACTCGGAAAAATCACTAAAAATCAGACCTGAGGTGTCAAAACCTCAGCAACAAAAGTACTCTCTGAAATTTTTGGGTTTCAGCAGTATTCACCACAAAAGAGGGATTTTGTGAGACTGTGGTCTCTGCTGAACAATGATATCTGAATACAATATACCTCTTGCTATTGCATGAGACCATATATACAATCACAGCAATGAATGTGAGAGCAAGAAACCCCTCACAGAGCAGCTGTGACCTAACATCAAATGTAGCAGGCAACATGCAACCTTGCCCTTGTCAATGATCGGCTGTCCACACAGGCCAAGAAAAATTCCAAAGAAAAGTTGGTGATTTATTGCCCACTGTGCTCATTAATCAAGCCAGGCAAGAACCACAATGCTGCAGATCACACGGTGGACTGGAACCACTCTAATAGGAACCACCCGGGAAAAGATCTCAACTGGGATAAATATCCAGAGACTGGGCCCTCAGTGCCTGCCACAATGCAATCTGCATACAATGCGATCGGCCAGCACAACAACACGTTGGAGTTGCTCAATGTTCTGCCAAGCCTCAGATACGAAGGGGTTTGGTTCAACAATTGTTACTGTGGAGTGTGGATTAAAGGGGCGGGGTACATATTCCTCGCTCCGTTCACAGTAATATTAAAGGTTACACTGCACTATTATTGTAAATGGGGAGTGGGTACTATGAAATGACAATGGTGTTCAACCCAAAACATATGGGAAGCTGGCAACTTCGATCATGCTTTGAGGAAAACAGCGGCTCAATTTCACCTTGAGGTCCTTCTGAGAAAAGGTGTATTTGCAATGCGTCCGTCCATACTTTTTTTTGTAGGGAAGGTGTTCGAACTCGGAACGACACATGCTCATTGCTGGAGATTTTTTGGCATAATAGCAGAATTAGACAACTGTCTATTGTGGAGCAAAATATTAAAAAAAATGAATGGGGATGATTATTTTTCATTTTCAATTTTACTGACATTTATAATGTTTATCTTCTTCAAATATTATGCATGCCAATGCAACTATCAAAAGCACAGTACAAAAGCGTCCCATATATCAAAACAACTGATGTCTTTTATTTTTAACATTCAAAATGTCAGGCTGTTTTCCCATGTATTTTATTTTTTGACATATCCATAAATGAATTATGTCAAGAGCCATATCCTGTCAAGGGACTTTCCAACTGAGGTGCGACAAACAGTGCTTCAGAGAGAATTTTATTCGATTTCCTATAACCACCAAACTTTCCTTTTGACCCCGGCCCAATTCTGGCGCTACACGGAACGTGCAAATTGTCGTGGAGCTACGAACTCCAGCTTGAAAGGACGTGTCCAGAGGGCCACGCAGTTCGGTGTCAGGTAATTCCATTCCGTGTACCAGTGTGCTCATACAGGACGTTTCCTCACGCATTACCAGGAAGTCATTGAAAGTCCCAGATCCCCAGGACATGCCAAGGGGAAGAAAATATAGACATGTATATATCATGGTTTACGTGACAATGGATTGGAGAGGATATGACACCAATGAACTCTAGGCCACAAATTTAAACCACTTCTTTTGTACAGTCGCACTAGGTGTTGAGAAATACACGTACCAGTTTGTGTTACCGGTTCCCGCAGAATGGGTCCAAATTTTTTTTAGTCCAAGAATGAGTCTAAGTTTTAGTTTGTCAGCAAACTGAGCTTCATACTATCAATCAGTCTGGCGTTCCAATGAAAATGGGCGGAAAGATGTTGAGGGTCTGTATTAATTTAAACTGTGCATGGTTCTTTCTAAAACTTGGAACCTAAAGGAGGCTCAGGCGATTTGTGACTCTTTTTGCTGCGTTGGGTCACTTTTATGGATAGGCATTGAGGAAGTGAGCTTACCAGAGAGAAAAACAAGGCCGCTGACACAGCTGGGAAAAGTTTGTTGACCCTACTAGCAAAATTGAGTGTCCTTGCAACCATTCTCAGAAAACCCCAGAATGTAAAAGAAAAGTCCATTGAATGCCATCTCTTACTTTTTAAGACTGAAAGCAGGGCCAGATGATTTGAAGGGTCAAAAGGTGATGAAGGTTTTCTAACATGCACTTTTTGTGCAATTTTGTATTCTTCGCTGCATGAAAACAAGTTGGGTCAAGTGGAGAGTTCTTCACTTTTTAAAACTGTAGTGCTTTCGTGGACAACAAAGGGCGCTGTTGCTGTCATGTTGCTAAAGGGAGACATTACTCAGTTTGTGGGGTATTTTGTTCAAACTGCTAACACAAAATTCGCTCATTGAAAATATTTCTGAGAGAGCGCTGCGCACTCGCTTTATGCCATGTACTCTCACAACAATAAATCACCAAAGAAGAGGAAATTTTCAACAGCACCATGTCAAAACTCCCCGCAGAGTTTTGTCCACAGATCAATGAAATATTGAGGTTTTCTCCATGGAATGACGTCACAGTTTTGCTCATGAATATGGAAATATACATATAGCATAAAACCAGAGGCGTCAAAATACCATGAAAGAAGGCGAATTAAAATGCTGAAAACAAGATTAACCGATACACAAAACGCATTTTTTGGGGGCTGTAGAAAACAAAATCGCATCGCATTCATCCCTTAACCCAAAATATCACTCTGAACTTGGATGGCAGGAGTTTGAGGAAAACTACTCACGGTGGAAACTCCCATAAAATCTCCATCTATTTTAGCGAGTAAATTGTACTCGAGGTTGTCTTGTCCTTGTAGTTTCAGTCGGGAGGGACTGAACTCTTGGAGAGAATGTGTGATATTCACTGGAACAGAATGGAACGAACTATTTCATGAAATATCTCTGGAAAGAGAAAAAGGAATCTCATGGAATCGTTTCTTAATTATTCTGTGCACACAAACAGGCATTCCAGCCTGCAAATTGGGTACAAATCTGTCACCAGAGGCAGTTTGCCTTGCTTCTGACCATAAACCTTCAGACCTGCCTCTGCGGGGGGGGAGGGGGAACAGTAAATGTGCTATCACAACATGTACTTATTTCTGTAACCAACTTGCAACCAGAAACGACTGTGTGAAAAGACCCGATTGCGATTTTTTTTTGGTTGAAGAAACAAGTATTTAAAGTTAACCTGGCATTTCAATCCCAGCAGAAAAAATTCTCCGTTTGCCTCCGAGAAGAACTCTGCAAGAACCAGAATGTCTCGCCCTCTCACATTGATCTTACAAAGCTCTGTGTCAAATTCAGGTCACTCTAACGAGGATGCAGTTTGCAGCATTTAAAAAAAACTCGGAAAAAGCATAAAAATGCTGAAACTCCTGTCTTGTCCTATTTCTGAAACTCAAACTACAAAATAGCGTGACTTATATAGAGTTCTCCTAGAGCCAGTCACAAATGTTACTCTACTGTACCTGGCCTCAATATACCCTGTTCACTAAACCTCTAGGTAACTCTGGGAATGGCAGATGTGCCACATACTTCAGTGAGTAGCCTTACTCCATAACTGTTCTTTCTTCTTCTGCCCTCTTTTTTTCTCAAAAAAAAAAAAAGAAGCTTCGTAATCAACTAAGGCCTGTGCATATCTACTCAACCGTATCACTGCACAAACTCATAACTCAAACTCAATAAATAACTCATTGTTCTTTGG